CATTTTGCATATAAATTAAATAAGGTTATAATATATAGCCTTATTGTACTCCTTTTCCAATCCTGTTCCATGTTTGGTTCTAACTGTTGCTTCTTGACCCACATACAGGTTTCTAGGGAGACAAATAAGATGATCTGGTACTCCCATTTCTTTGAGGACTTGCCACATTTTGTTGTGATCCACATAGTCAAAGGCTTTCATGTAGTCAGTGAAGCAGAAGTAGATTTTTTTCTGGAACTCCCTTGCTTTCTCCATAATCCAGTGAATGTTGGCAATTTGGTCTCTAGTTCTGCCTCTTCAAAACCAGCCCGCTCTTCTGGTAATTTTCAGTTCACATATTGCTGAAGCCTAGTTTGCAGAATCTTAAGCATAACTTTGCTGGCATGTGAAATAAGCACAACTCTTTGGTAATTTGAACATTCTTTGGCATTGCCCTTCTTTAGGATTGGGACACAAACTGATCTTTTCCAATCCAGTGGTCACTTTTGAGTTTTCCAAATTTGCTGGCATATTGAATGCAATAATTTAACAGCATCAACTGTAATTCCATCACCTCTACTAGCTTTATTGCTAGCAGTACTTCCTAAGGCCCACTTGACTTCATTGTGCAGGATGTCTGGATCAGTTTTTGGTGGTCATCAGTGATGTATAGTTCTGCTATAAATTCTTACCACCTCTTCTTAATCTCTTCTATTTCTGTTAAGTCTGTACCGTATTTGTCTTGTTGCTGAGTCATTTTTCAGTCATGTCTGACTCTTCATGACCCCACTTCTTAACAAAGATACTGAAGTGGTTTGCCATTTCCTTCTCCAGCTCATTTTACAGATTAGGAAACTGAGGCAAACAGGGTTAGGTGACTTCCCAGGGTCACACAACTAGTGTCTGAGGCCAGATTTGAACTCAAGAAGATGAATCTTCCTGTCTCCAGGTCTGGCAGTCTATCTACTGCAGCATCACCTAACTGCCCTTTTGTCTTTTATCATGCCTATTTTTGCATGAAAAATTCCCTTGATATTAGTGATTTTCTTGAAGAGATCTCTTGTCTTTACCATTCTGTTGTTTTCTTCTATTTCTTTGCATTGCTCATTTAAGAAAACTTCTTGGACTTAGGATGAAAAATGCTATCCATCCCCAGAGAAAGAACTGATGGTGTCTTGAATACAGATTGAAGCTTACTTTTTTACTTTCTTTATTTTTCTTGATATTTTTCAGTCTATGTTTTCTTTTACAACATGACTGTTATGGAAATGTTTTACATGACTATATATGTATAACCTATATTGAATTGCTTGCCTTCTCAATGGGGGAGGGTGAGGAGGGAGGAAGGGAGAGAATTTGGAACTCAAAGTTTTAAAAATGAATGTTAAAAATTGTTTTTACATGTAACTGGGGGAAAATAAAATAAATAAAAGAAAAAAGTAAAAAAAAACCCTTCTAATCTCTCCTCTAGGATTCTGCATTCAGTTGGGTCTATTTTTCTCTTTCTTCTTTTCCTCTGACTTTCCTTCTTTCCTCAGCTATTTTTAAAGCCTCAGACAGCCATTTTGCTTTCTTACTCTTCTTTTTCCTTGGAATGTTTTTTGTTGCTGCTCTTTTACAACACTGTGAACCTCTGTCCATAGTTCTTTAGGCACTCTAATCAGATCTAATTCCTTAAATCTATTTATCACCTTCCCCTTCATATTCATAAGGGGATGTTATTTAGGTCATGCCTATATGGTATGTTCTGATGGTTTCCCCTGCTTTTTTCAATTTAAGTCTGAATTTTGCAATAAGAACCTTATGATCTGAGCCACAGTCAGCTCCAGGTCTTGTTTTAACTGATTGTATAGAGCTTCACCTTTGGCTACAAAAAAAAAATCAATCTCATTTTGATGTTGACCATCTGGTATATTGACTCTGGTAGAGTCACCTCTTGGGTTGTTGAAAAAAAAGTATTTGCGGTGTCATCTTGACAAACCTCTATTAGTCTCTGCCCTGCTGCATTTTGTACTCCAACGCTAAACTTGCCTGTTAAATGACCTTTTGATCGCCTACTTCAGCATTTCAATCCCCTATGATGAATGAGACATTTTTGGGTGTCATTTCTAGGTGGTGTAGGTCTTCACAGAACTGAGCATCAGTGGTTGGAGCATAGACCTTTATTACTGTCATGTTAAACTGTTTGCCTTGGATTTGAACAGACAGCATTCTATCATTCTTGAGATTTTACCCCAGGACTATTTTTATCATCCTTTTATTGACTATGAGGGCTACTTCTAGCCACAGTAGTAAATGTAATAATCACCTGAATTGAATTCCCCCATTCCTGTCCATATAAGATCACTGACACCCAAGATGTTGATGTTTAATATTTCCACCTCCTGTTTGACCACATCCAACTAATCTTGGTTCCTAGATCTTACATTCCAGATTTTATTGTAGCCCCTTGAAGATCCTCATCCCAACTTCCACTCTTACAAAGAAGTCACGTCTCTAAGCTAGCTTGTCTTTCCTAAGTCTTCACTTTTTCAGACTAAAGAGTTCCAGTCCCTTCCACTGGGCCTCATGTGGCATGGTCTCTAGTCCTCCCCATCTTGGTCACAAGATGCCCCCTGGGCATGTTTTGGCTTGTCAGTGTTCTTCCTAATATAATGGGGACTGGTGAGTGTGCATGATGTGCTCAGCTGACACCGTCTCCTTGTGGAAGAGGACCTACTTCCAGAAAGGCTTGAGGGTTTGTTGATCGGCTACTGAGCTCAAACTGGCACTGACTGGCCAAGTTGCTTTCTTGCTCTTTTTTTTATATTCCCTTACTCACTATTCAAAAAAGTAGATGGCTGGATGTGTGTATATTTAAACTTTATGTATAGTACATACAAAAATCCTCTGCCTGGCATCTTGGGAACTTACCTAGCCTGCTTTGTAGCACTGTATTGTTCAAATATTCCTCTCAGTGCTTCAGGATCCATGGCAGAAGGCGGCCTCCTCCAAGTATATGGTGACACCTTTTATGTGATAATGGTCTAGATGAGTGTTTTTGGAAAAGTTTGGCTTAAATTCTGAAGGCCTACAGGTGTTTGTTTTCTGTGAGGGAGGTAGGTGGCACAGTGGACCACTAGACTCAAAAAGACTTGAGTTCAAATCTAACCTCACGCGCTTACAAGTTATGTGACCTTGGGCAAGTCACTTAACTTCCATTTGCCTCAATTTCCTCATTTGTAAAATGGGGATAATAATAGCACCTACCTTCCAGGGCTCTTATGAGCATTAAATGAGATAATATTTGTAAAGTACTTAGTATAGTACCTTGCACACAGTAGGAGCTATATAAATGCTACTATTATTACTATCATTAATATACATAAGCTATGTAGTTTAGGAAGATCTTATACGTATGAGTGTTTATATATGTATAAATCAACAACCATTTATTAAATGTCTAATAGGTGCCAGAGACTGTACTAGGTGATGGGAATACAAATGAATGAAACAATCCCTACTTGCGTGGAATTTACTTTCTAATAGGAGAGACAACCAAGACATATATAAGTATATAGAGAATAAATACAAATAAATACAAAATAGTTAAATCCAAGGTAATTTGAGAGGGAAGGCACAAGCCGTTGAGAGGATCAGAAAAGGCTTCATGCAGAAGGTGCTACTGAGGAAGATATACAGAGGGAGGGCACTCCAGGCATGGGGGACAGCCAGTGCAAAGGCCTAAAGATGAAAGCTGGAATGCTGAGCGTGAGGAACGCAGAAAAGGCTACTTTAGCTGGATCACAGAGTGCATACTATAGTGAGCCTAGAAAGATAGTTTGGGGCAAAGTTGTGAAGGGCTTTAAATAGGCAGGTTCATATTTGATTCTAGAGATAATAGGAAAGGCATTGGGTATTGAAGTATTGAGTAGGAGAGTAACATACACAGAACTATGATTAAGGAAAATCACTTTGGCAGTAGTATGGAGGACAGACTGAAGTAGAGAGAGACTTGAGGCAGGAAGACTGATTGCAGTGGGAGGCTGTTGCAATAATCTAGATGAAAGGTGATGTGGCCTGTATTAAAGTGGTACTTGTATGAGCAGAGAGGAGTCAGGTGCAAGAGATGTTGTGGGAGTAGAAATGGTCAGATTTGGCAGGGGCTGAGGGAGAGGGAGGAGTTGAAGTTACCTACCTGGGACACTGAAATAATGGTGGTATCTTGGACAGAAATAGAGGAGTTTGGAAGAGGGGCAGGTTAGGGGAAAGATAATGAGTTCAGTTTTGGAAATGTTAAATTTAAGGTATCTCAGACATCTGGTTTGAAATGTCCAATTACCAACTGGTGATGTGGGATTGGAATTCAGAGGAAAGTCTGAGGTTGATTATATAGACCTGGGAATCATCAACAGAGAAATGATCATTGATCCCATGAGCTGATTGGGCACCAAGAGAGTATTGAAGGAGAAGAGTAGGGGGCTCAGCACAGGGCCTTGGAGGATAAGACACCCGTCTTTATGAGACATGTTCTGGATGACGAACCAGCAAAAGAGACTCGAAAAGGAACAATTAGAGCAGTAGGAGGATGTATCTAATATAAATGTGTGTATATGTATATAATTGCTTCACATATGCCCAGTTTTATTGAAAGATATGGTTGGGTTAGTGAATACAAATTTATCCTAGCCATGACTTCCACAATACTTAGGTTATAATGTGTAAAAACCGTGCAAATCATGAAAATGTAGAAGTTCATGCTGGAGTCCTACCTGCTTCAGAAAGCCTTCCCGACTCTCTGATACTCATGGCATTGAGGATTCCATGGCAGACAATTTCCAATTGACCTGGATCAATCTCCTCTGTGTGTCATTAGTCCCCAGCTAGCCTGGGAGCTCCTGAGGCCAGCTTTTACTTTCAGAATTTGTTTCATATTTCCATAGCACAGGTGTGGGCAGACGGTGTAAGTCAATCAGTCCTTACTGCTGGATATGTGGCTTTGCCAACACCCTTTTCCCTCTACCCTCACTCTTCTTTCCTAGTTTCCTTCAGCCTTTTTCAAAGGCCGCGTCAACATGTGTGCTGCATTTTGCTATGAGGTCCTCAAGTGCTGTACCTCCAAGATCAGCTCCACGAGGAATGAGGCCTCTGCACTGCTGTACCTGCTGATGCGAAGCAACTTTGAGTTCACCAAGCGGAGGACCTTCTTGAGAACACACTTACAGGTCAGTAAGAAAGAAAGAGTACTGGCCTTCTGGCCTTCCTTCCCTTCTCTTCCTTCCTCCCAATGGTCTATACTTCATGAACTTGTTAGGTTTCCCGGTTATCAGCAACTCTTCATTCTCTGCTTATTGGCCACAGCAGCACTGAGCTGCCCTGGCCCCAGGCCACTTGAACTCATCAACCCAACTCAAAGCCTGGGAAATTGTGGTCCTCAGAGTTTCAGCCAGCCTCTAGGGAGGACCCTTCAGGGGGGAGCATGTTGGAGAATGGGTGAGAATAGTGTGGAGGTCACTCTTAGCAACTTCCACACTCTCTGGGTGAGTGTGGTAAGGTTGGAAGGAATCCTTGCCCACTACTATATCTCTGTACTTCATGTTTCTTGCCAAAATGGGCTCTCTAACTTTGTTCTCTTGCTTGGGCCAGCCTTACACATAGGCCACACATCTCCTATGTTTGTGATTCCCTAAACATCTGATCCACTGGCCTAGCACCTCATCTGAAATACTACCTTCGGAGGTGCATCCTCGGGAGTTCAAGCATTGAGTTTTCAGGGGTCCCCTGTGAAATGATAAGGACTGAACCATTATTAACATAAGATCAGAAGATTTTAGAGGTGGAAGGCACTGTAGAGGTCCTCACCCCAAACTTTCTCATTTTACAAAGGGAAAAAAGTGAGGCCCAGAACTGACTTGCCCAAAGCATGCTTTTCTGGAAATTAGCTGATCAGATAAACTAGCAAGATACTAAGGGAATGCAACACAAGAGAGAAGCCCCAAGTTTTAAATGTTGCTAGCAGAGAAGTGGTCCAAGGAAGCAGATGGGGGAGGAAGGGAGGACCATGCTGAAAGATGTTTGGGCGGGGGTGGCTAGCCATGGCCCAGACAGTGGAGGCAAAATATAACTTGAGAGCCACTACCCCTTATTTCCCATAACTGCTGCAAAGTAGTCTTGAGTCAGGCTATAAGACCAATCAACCAAACAGAAGAAAGGCCTTGGTACCACATTTTGTACTGGGGACTTTGGGATTAGCAATGCCAGCAGCATAATGCAAATCCATAGGTTCGTTTGTTTGTTCAAATAATTTTTGATTGAAATAAATGAATCAGGAAAATTTGTAGTTATGATAGAACTACGCAGACTCTTTAGAAGAAACTCAGTCTTTTTATAGAAGCTATTTTGAATGAGAGATACAGCCTGGCATGGTGAAAAAGAACCTTGCGTTGGGGCTCAGGACACTTGAGTTGGAATCCTCTTTCTGCCACTTAATTACCCTTTCTGAACCATAATATTGTATTATATATTACCCTTATCCAAAAGAGTAAATAATAGTATGTTCATTAACTACTTCATAGCATTAGTAATAAGGTAAGTGCATCTAAACTGTACATTGATCTATAAATGTAAAAAAACAAATAAACTTGGGTATCCCTCTTCTCCCCAGATAATAATTGCAGTAAGCCAGCTGATAGCAGATGTGGCACTGAGTGGAGGATCAAGATTTCAGGAATCTTTATTCATTGTTAATAACTTTGCAAACAGTGACAGACCAATGAAGGTAAGTCTTCTTAATTGGTAGATGAGGTTATCTCTAGGTTAGGCATCTAGAACTCAACTATCATAATTACTCAGGAGATATTTGTTTGGATTGTGTGTATCTGAGGCCCCATGGCTAAACGGCATTGGAGAGTGATTCTTCAGCTGGATTTTAAGCCTGCCCTGAAACTGGCCTGGGTTCAAATGTGCTAGTTTGGATTGGGTTTTCTGTTTTTTTTTTTTCATGTCTTGCTCAGAATTACTGAGTGCTTGGACTTGGGAATATATGGAATCACGAAACATTCCCATGAGGTTCTGTCCAGGCTGAAGAAATCAATTTGAAAAATTCCAGCTGCTCTCCAGCTGGGAGGGAGCGTTTGTCTAACAGCCAGTCTTACTGGTTTCCCCAGAGAATGAGTACATGCTCCAGCAAATCCCATTAGCGTAGAAAGAACTTTGGCCATGTACTAATCTTTCCTTTTTGCATTAATAGTATATTATTTACTTAATGGACCACCCTCCTCAGTGCCATTGAGAGTTTTCATATTTAATGGGCTCCGGGTTATTTAGCAACTGGTTTTTACAAAAATGGGGCTTGGGGTTGCCTTTTTGGTAGAAAGGGCTTTACTGAAACATTTCTAAGATGACTTAATCATATCCTTTTGTCTTGCCCATGGCTAATACATGGACAACAAATCCAGTAAAAACTCACAGAGTGCCAGGAACTATTACAGGTTATAGACAGAGGAAGGCAAAAATGAAACAGCTTCTTTCCCCAAGAAGCACGCATTCTCCTGGGGGGAATACTATGTATGACTCAGTAAATAAACAAACCTGTGGCTAATCTAGTTTTAAATGGTCATTGAGCTGTATGGTGCACATTTGTGTTTGTAAATTAATGTAAATGAACTCCCAGCTGTGTCTCTTGTGCTATTCTTCAGCACCTACACAGATAATAATGGGTTATTCTAGTGGAATTATGAGAAAGGGTCTTAACTTTTTCTTCGGCATAAATAAACAAACAAGCAAACAATAAATGAAAAATGATGAATAAATAAATGCACAGGCCCGTGGGCACCCACACAAAAATACACACCCACACATGTGTGTATTGCCAGTGAGAAATCTCTTTAATTTACTAAACTTCCAATCTGCTCTAGTCCAGATACAGTCTCAGAAGAGGGATTACTGACCTTTGAAAATTCTTTTGGACAGGGACAAGTTCGTTTTATGCAATGCATAATCGGTCATTTGGGTCAGAGAATTTTCCTGTGCCAAGGCTCTGGGGGAATTCATTTAGCCTGCTTCTCATTTAGCCTGCTTCTCATTTAGCCTGCCAACTTACTATATATGGTAGTCAGGGGATGGACTAAACATGCCAGGCAAGGCTGACTTCAGTATTACTCCACAAGGAAATGGGAGAAACACAGCATGGTCACTGCTTTTGCTGAAGACCTCATTAAAAGTTTGGGGCCATTAAAGACTGGCCAGATGTGTAAGAAAAAAAGAAAACAAGCAATGCATCGGAAGTAGGCAGATGACACTGCAGATGTACTTGGTGCATTGGCATCAGCTCAATTTTCCAGTTCTGTCAAAACTCAATTCTGATTATTTTGTATATGTCAGAATTCTACCTTCAGATATGTCAATGGGCATTTCTTTGAAGCTGAAATTCTAATGGCAAAAAAAAAGTATGACGTTTTCCGTAAAAAACTGATTCACAACACACTGGACTGTTATGAAATTCTTCTGTGTTTTTTTTTTTTTTGTTTGTTTGTTTTAAATTAGGCAACTGCTTTTCCCACAGAAGTGAAAGATCTGACCAAGAGAATCCGCACAGTTCTTATGGCCACAGCTCAGATGAAGGAGCATGAGAAAGACCCAGAGATGCTGATTGATCTCCAGTATAGCTTAGCCAAATCTTATGCAAGTACTCCAGAGCTTCGGAAAACCTGGCTTGACAGCATGGCCAAGATCCATATCAAGAATGGCGATTTTTCTGAGGTGACTGTTGGTGGCTACAGTGCAGCCCTAGCTACAGGGGCTTCTGAAGCCCACCCCGCCTGACTCTCCTTTCTTTCTCATCCTTTTGCAGGCTGCAATGTGTTATGTCCATGTAGCAGCTCTGGTGGCAGAGTTTCTTCACCGAAAAAGTAAGCTGCTATCGGTTTGGCATCGGAAAAAGGTTGACTAAACATATCGATATCTATGGCACCTATTTGCTAACACCGTGAAAAGATGTTGGTTTCGAAAAATATGTTCAGCTTTAGATTGAGTTGAGGTTCGGCAGAATTTGTTACTAAAACAAGCTGGTTTGTTAATTTTGCCTTCTACTTGCAGAAGGATTGAAGATAAGAGTTTTCAGCAGCGCCAGGTTGGGTGTGCAATATTTATTTTCCCTGGCAGACGGCCTCACATTGCATTCCTGCAAAACTCACAGCAAGAGAAAGAACTTGCTTCCCTGACATCTGCCCACATTTCACCACTGCCTGCCCATGGGAACACCTGGGTTATTTGCAGGTACCCTGCTCTTCTAGGGCATGCAGCTGGCTCCCAGGTCTTTCTGGTGTTTGCCCTTGTTAATATAGGGGTTTGTCTTGGTGGCAGCTTCCTTTTCTGAATGCCTTGCAGAATACTGTACCCACTCACATCATAAAGCAGGTGCACAAGTTTGAAATCTGCCTGGCACTAGGGAGAACCAATGAAGAAATCTGGCCTTATCTAGCAGAGCTACCCAAATGATTTCCTGCTGAGACTGGGCAAAAGCAAGCTAAGCTTTGGAGGCTGTGGGAACCAAACTTCAAGATTTTCCTCAAGATTCAAGTATTTATTCATTTAAGAACAAATCACTACTTAGTTTATGAATCATTGTTCAGTTATCTCCTATAAATATATGAAAATTACACACCACTGTATGAGAAATTTAAAAACTAACTAAGCAGATAACTCACAAATCTTATTCACTATTATCATCCTATCTGGATTCATTTCACTTGGATTTTCACTTTAAATATTACTTAATACTGAGATTGCTTTGCCCAATTCAGAACAACTTGTAGGCACTTTATTCTCCTTTTAGTGATGTCGCCACAGCTTTAAAATGGCAAGACATTTACTAGAAAAGGCCTGACTTTCACATTTTTCATGTCAAGGGTATGCCTGAAAAGAAAATATAAAACATAAAATCATAGTACATTTCAGATATTGGGCAGAACATGGTGCTCCAGGCCTGTAAGTCCTGTGCCTAGGATGGTTGGGAACTCTGAGCTACAGTGCACTCAGATGACTTGGCATCTGGACTAAGTCTGGCATCAGTATGGTAAGCCTCACGTATTAAAGGGTCACCAGGCTGCCTAAGGACAGGCAAAGTTGCCATGCTCAGAAACAGAGCAGTGAAAGCTCTCATGCCCAGCAGGTGTGGGATCAGATCTGTGAGTTTCTGCTGCACCTTCTGACTGGGTAAAATAGGGAGATGGATTCTCTAGAGACAGACAAATATAACATTGAATTTACAATTCAATAATTCCAGATAACTAGAAAAGTGAAGAGCACCTTATGTTGGAAATATTTGCCATAATTTGTTTTTAAAAAGAAATTAAAGTTAGGCCCTACTGTCTCCTAAACTGGTTAAGACTAAAATCTGAAATAAGGGAACCCTTCAGTGCCTGCCGACCACACAAATCTATTCCTTATTTTTTAAACAGATTGTTTCCCCCAATATCCTCCACAAGCGCAGATCTTCAAAATTAAAGAGAACTAAATTTATCAGTCTTTCAGGGTTAGAAATTGAAGTGGAGTGTTAAGCAGAGTCTCAATGAAAATAATGTGTAAATCTCAGTGTGGTTTTTCAGGCACCTACATTAAAGAGAGATTCCCAATGCCATACACCAGGGCATGCACCATGATATTCAGTGCCTATAATTAGTTATTTCAATATTTATTGTATAAGGCCTTCAAGGTCTCTTAGAATTTATCCTTCTTGAGGGCAGCTAGGTGGCGCAGTGGATAAAGCTCTGGTCTTGCAGTCAGGAGGACCTGAGTTCAAATCCAGCCTCAGATACTTGACACTTACTAGGTGTGTGACCTTGGGCAAGTCACTTGACCCTGATTGCCTCACCAAAAAATAAATAAATAAATAAGAAGAAAAAGAAGAAGAATTTATTCTTCTTGCCTATCAAAGAACTTCTCTCTCTGGGAGAAAACTGAATGACATCTTAAGAAAAAAATGTCAACTTAAGAGAAGGTTGCATATTCAGTTATAGTTGCTGTCTGTTTTTAAACCTGAAAAATTTCACTCAGTCCAGGATATATTGCCATCACCTTTAGTATATATTGTAGTTAGTCCTTCAGAAACAGTTTTATGCCTCATTGATATCTTGGTCAACTAACAAACCATAGAAAGCAGTTCTTAAGTTATTCAGACCAAGACTCAACCAGTAAAAGTTTTGGTTGTTGGCATGTCATCCAGGCTTTCAGAGGACTGATTAGTGGACTCTTCAAAGGCTGTATGAGAGCTGGAGACACAGAGCACATAGGGACAAATCGGAATAGAGAACACAGAATGTTTCACTATGAAAATCCAGATTGCTAAACAAACTCGTCATGTTTATATAGCACTTTACAGTCATAAAGTACTGTATGTCCATGATCTCCTCCATGTGGGACCCTTTACTTTAGCATAATATTGGTAACAAAAGTAATGGGAAAAGGAAGAAGGTTCACGTAGAAGAGCATATGATTCACATCAGCTCATCCGTGTGTAATTTTCCATTAAAAAAACCAAAACTACTGGACTGTTTTTCTCTTCATGTCTTCCCTCAGTAGGTATGTCTCATAGGCTGCTTTGGATTTGGGGGTTTTTCCTTCATGTTGAAGTCTGTAAGTTGTGATATAATTAAAGGAAGGGCATGTGCAGTAGACACATCAGGCCTGACCACTTCAGATGTCCTCTTTCTGCTGCTTACAGCTTTCCCTATTTGCCTGTGCTAGAACTGCAGTTTTCCTACTTGTGTGAAAGAGATTTTTCCCAGGTCCCTTGTGCCGTGTCCTTAAGGTGGTATGAAGCCAGCCCTCTCTAGCACAGAACTTAATGGCAGCACCTGTCTGATCCATGACCAGCTGACTCAGCCTCTCTTTGAATTCATGCAGTCATCATAAACATTTACCTTGGGAGATTGTCTTACTGGTGACTGACCCAGAGCTACAAGGGTCAGTATGTGACCTTCCCTTTACTGGAATTCAGAAGGACAGAGCTAGTCTGAGGAATCACACAAGTCCCTTCTCAAGGTGGCATCTATCTTTCATAGCAAATGAAACCCACTTCCTTCTCCCGGGTGGTCTTTGTTTTCACTTGGTAAGGCTAAAGGATGAAACACCAACAGCTTGTTTTGTTCTTTGGCACCTTTGCACCAGCTAGAAGGAGGCTCTTCCAAGTTATAGCCTACATAGTTAGGACAGAGTGACCATGGGTACACTGCTTGAGGGGGTTTCCCTCTCTAAAATCTTCATCGTGGAGGTCTTGTTCTGATATATGCGTGGCACTACTGCTTGGACCTAGCCTCCTTTCAAAAACTAACATTCCATTTGGCTGCCTTGATACCTATTTAGTGCCCAGGGGCAGCTAGGTGGTGCAGCTGATAGAACACTGCCCTGGAGTCAGGAGGACCTGAGTTCAAATCTGGCCTCAGACACGTAACACTTACTAGCTATGTGACCCTGGGCAAGTCACTTAACCCCATTGCCTAGCCAAAAAAAAAAAAAAAATTAAAAAAAAAAACCTACTTACAACTTTAGCTCTCAGCCTATGTCCCAGTGTTCTAGCTTTCAAGGTTCAGCAAACTATTGCCTGAGGAACTACTACTTTTTTTGTTGTTTTAAAATGTAAAAAACATTCTTAGCCCGAGGGCAATACAAAACAAACTAAAACAAAACACCAGACTGCAGCAAGCAAGAGGCCATAGCTTGCCCAGCCCTGATGTAGCTTATAGTTGTTGGAAGGGAAAAGTCCATCTTTGGAGGTAAAAAGCATAATCCCTGTGAGTTTTTGCCAAGTTCTGCCTCTTCTCTCCTCCTCCACCCAGCAAGTACTAGCCTTGGCCTAGCAATATCTTTCTTTGCCTAACGTTCAGGTGGGATAAGGAGCTGAAGATGGACGTAAGTGGACACCCAGTAGTCGTGGAGGATGAGGAAGTGGGGGAGCAATTGTCCCTCCTTAATTAGGCCACCAAATAGACAAAGTCTTAGGAATCTGGGGATAGGAGAACTATGGAATTAGTAACCAGAGACAATGGATATTTAGATATTTAATATTTATATTACCACTTCCTGGTAATTGAACAAATATTTATTAAAGGTCTACCATATGCCAAGGCCTTACACTAAACTCTGAGAATACAAAGACAAAACAAACAAACAAAAAAAACAATTCCTTCTCTCAAGGAGTTTACAATTCTACTGGGCAAGACGATAACTGGCTGGAGTTGTCTTCATTTAACAGAGTATCTGATATTGAAGTGACTGAAACACATAGAAATAAGTTTCCTTTTTGTAGTAGCAAACTCCAGTCATGCCTTTGGCCCTTATCCAAATTTTCCTAAGGTCTCATTTTTAAGTATAACCAACCCCCCAAAATGACGGATTATGACAGATTAACATTGTGATTTTCCCATTCATTTACTCCCATTATTTTATCCACACAGAGTTGTTCTCCAGTGGATGCTCAGCATTCAAGAAAATCACTCCCAACATCGATGAGGAAGCAGCAATGAAAGAAGATGCAGGAATGATGGATGTCCATTACAGTGAGGTAACATTTCCAGATTTTCTCTTCCAGCTTCATATACTTCATTTTTGTTTAAAACCCTATTATTTTACAAATGTTTTGATCTCCTACCTAATGTTGAAAGCCATGTCAAATGAGCTCCTATCTGGAAAAAAAAATCTATGGGTGTGCCCCCCAAAGATTAAGAGCAGGAACTAGTATGATTGGGGAATGAGGGACTGTGATGAACTTTCCAAGTTACTCCAAATTGACCTGCTGGGGCACTGAAACGAGGGCAAAGTTGCCTCTGCCAAGAGGTAAAGACCAGCCGCTTCAACTCTTTCACGGCCACATGGTTGTCCTGGTTGATCTGTTAGTTAACATTTCTAAAAAATGTAGCACTTTAATAATCACAAATCTGTATCTTCTAATCAGTGTAAACATACTTTGAACAAGATTTCATAAAAGTACAGAATTAAAGTTTTCTATCTTTAAGACCAAGGGCATAATTAAATCTTTCCCTAAAACTTAACAGGGTGTAGAATGCTTTAGCAGTTAATAAATCGTTAGAGCCACGTGTAAGGTTCTGGGCAAGATACTTTGTGAAAGACAGAAATATAAAACATTCCTTGCCTTCTAAGAACTGACTGTCTCCTTGGGGAACATGTGTACACACAAGATAGTATACAGCAAGCACTGGTATAATACAAACAGGCAGTGTGTGCTTTGGGAGCTTAAGGAACAAGGGGTTGCTTTGGCTGGGGTGGTCATGAAGAAAGTGGGATTCAATCTGGGCCTTGGAGGTTACATTGAGGGTGGGAGAAGGGACTAGGCATTTATCAAGTACTTACAATGGGCCAGAAGTTGTGCTAAGTACTTTACAAACAGCAACTAGGGTTATAGCATTGGCAATGGAAAGGAAGGAACAGAAATGAGAACTACTGCAAAGGAAAAAATGCCAGGACTTGGTGAGAGAGGAAGAGAAATCAAAGATGACTCAAATTTCAAGCCAGGGGGCCATTAATAGAAATAGAGAAGTGAGCAAAGTGGAGCTGGTTTGGGGAGAGGAAGATGAATTGGTTTTAAACATGCTAAGTTTGAGATGAGTACAAGACTAGAACGTCAGAGAGTCTACAGGCTATGTTGATTTAGATGAATGATTCTCTCAAGGTTGGACCATGTTGTGTAGGTCTCCATCGTTAGCTCCACTTTACAGATGAGGTAACTGAGGTTTAGAGAAGCTAAGAGGTCTGCCCAAGATCACCCAAAGCCAGAGCTAAAAGCCAAGTCTTCTGACTTCTAGGTTAGTGTTCCTTCCATTCTATCGTGGTGCCTTTGGCAGGGGAGAACTGAAACAAGGTAAATGGAAGAGGAAAGAGATAAGCGCTAAGGACCAAGACTTAGGAGATGGCCATACTTCTGGGGTGACAGGAAGAAGATCCAGTCAAGGAGGCAGAGGAGAGATGATCAGATAGGTAGCAACCCTGAGAATAACAATTATTCCAAACCTAAGATTTATTTGGAAATATATGCAGCAATTAGAAAGAATGTGTTATGGTAATCAGGTTTGAGAGGCAATGGGGGGGGGTAGGCCTTGACTTGGAAAAGCACTGTAAATTTCAAATTGCTCCTGGATCAGTTAGCTAGCCAAATCTAAAATCAATCGAACACTGCATGGGAATAAAGAGACTTGTGTGATTTTTTTTTATCATTTTATTTTTTTACTTTAGTATTTTATTTTTCCCCAATTACATGTAAAATTTTTCAACATTTATTTTTAAAATTAAGTTTTAAAAAAAAATTAAGTTCCAAATTCTCTCCCTCCCTCCCCACCCCCTCATTGAGAAGGCAAGCAATTTGATATAGGTTTTACATGTATAATCATGTAAAACTTATTTCCATATTAGACATGTTATAAAAGAAAACATAGACCAAAATGAAAAACCAAAAAAAAATTAAGTAAAAAAAAGTATGCTTCAATCTGTATTCAGATTGCCTCAGTTCTTTCTCTGGGGATAAATATCATTTTTCATGATATGTCCTTCAAAGTTGTTCTGGATCAGTGTATTGCTTGTCTTTCACAGCTGGTCATCTTACAATATTGCTGTTACTGTGTACAATGTTCTCCTAGTTCTACTCCTTTCACTGTGCATCAGTTCATGTGAGTCTCTCCAGGCTTTTCTGAGAGCATCTAGCTCATCATTTCTTATATCACAATAGTATTCCATCACAATCATATATCACAAATTGTTCAGCCATTCCCCAATTGATGAAGATCACCTCAATTTCTAATTCTTTGCCACCAGCAAAGGCTACTATAAATATTTAGGCATAGTTCCAATTGCTCTACAGAATGGTTGAATCAGTTCACAACTCTACTAACGGTGCATTAGTGTCTCAATTTTCCCACACCCTTTCCAACATTTATCATTCTTCTTTTCTGTCCTATTAGCCAATCTAATAGGTGTGAGGTAGTACCTCAGTTTTGTCTTAATTTACATTTCTCCAATCAATAGTGATTTAGAGCATTTTTCATATGGCTGTAGACAGATTCGATTGCTTCATCTGAAAACTGACTTCATATTTTTTAATCATTTGTCAATTAGGGAATGGCTCTTATTTTTATATATTTGACTCATTCCTCTATATGTTTGAGAGATGGGGCCTTTACCAAAGAAACTTGCTTTTAGGGCATTATGTAAAGGTATTTGGAGGGGTTTGGGAAAGAGCTCAGGCAACTCCCTGCCTTCTCTCCACCATCTTTGAGACTTGTGTTCTAGTCCCTACCCTGCCACTAACTAGTTTTGTGACCTTGGGCAAGTCATACCACTTCTGGTCATAGAAACATAAAATCTTAGAACTGGAAGGGACCTGAGAAGTCATCTGGTCTAACACTTGTGAGTGGTTTGTACAGACTCAACTTAAATAGGGGTACAGAACTCATTGCAAAAGCGTCCTTGTCTGAAAAATTTTATAAGGACTGGGGGAGAGGGGAATCAATCCAGCCTAGAAAGATAATTTTTTAAGTTAATTTTTATTGATATCTTTTTTTACATCACCAAAATCTTCCCTAGTATCCCTTCCCCCCTTCTCCCAGAGTCATCCCATTTAACAGTGTTTTTTAAAGAAAAAGAAGAAAAAATAATAAGTAACAACTCACCAATACACTGAAAAAGTGAAAATGTGTGCCATGTACCTACCATATTCAGAGACTTCCTATTTGTACAAAGGGGTGTGGTGGGAGTGTCTTTCCATAGTTCTTCTTTGGGGCCAGGCCTGTTCTTTGTTAGTTTTGCAACATCCACTTTTGATGGCTCGGGTTGTTGTTTTTTTTTCCTTTTTACACTGTTGTATTCATTGTATATACTGTTTTCTTGGCTCCACTTACTTCACTGTACATTGGTTCACGCAGCTCTTTCCAGGCTTCTCTGTATTCATTATATTCATTTCTCATAGCATATTAATATTCCGTTATATTCATATACCACAGTTTGTTTAGACATTTTCCAATAGATGAGCATTTACTTTGTTTCCAATTCTTTGATATCAAAAAGTGCTGCTCTAAACAGTTTGGTTAGCAGATGGGGACTTGCTGCTTATAAATGGCCTCCCTGGGATAAAAGCCAGCCTCAGTAATGGGATCTCTGGGTCAACGGGATTGGACATTTTAGTAACTTTATTTACATAATTCTGAACTGCTTTCCAAAAGGGTTGTACCAATTTGTAAGGCCACCTACAATGCAATGGTGTGCCTATCGTCTGCCAACCCCTCCAACGTTGACTATTCCCATGTTTTGTAATCTTTCCCAACTTGCTGGGTATGCAGTGAAATCTCACAGTTGTTTTGATTTGCATTTCTCTTATTATTAGTGACGTGTCATATTCTTTCATATGGCTAATAGTTTTCAGTTCTTCGTTTGAGAACTGTTCATATCCTTTGGTCACTTATCTACTGGAGAATGGTTTTTGGTTATATAGCTATATAAATATATAGATTTCCTTATTGTTTACATATCTTAGATACCAAACTCTTATCAGGGAAATTTGATAGATAGATTTTTTTTCCCATTCTGCTGATTCCCTACTTTTTCTTGGGGCATTCGTTTTGTTTGCACAGAAGCTTTTCAGTGTGATGTGTTGTAATCTATTGTATTTTTTGTAATTGCTTCTATTTCTTGTTTGACTAAAAATACATCTCCTAACTATGCCCAAAGGGCTATATAAAACTGTGAATATCTTTTGATCCAGCAATACCACTAGTAGGTCTGTCTCCCAAAGAGATCAAAGAAAAGGGGAAAGGACCTATTTGTAAAATATATATGTATGTATGTATATATATATATATATATATATATATTTCTAGCAGCTCTTTTTGTGTGGCAAAGAATTGGACATTGAGGGGATATTCACCAACTGGGGAATAGTTGGAAAAGTTGTGGTATATGATTATGATGGAATACTACTGTGCTGTAAGAAATGATGAGCAGGATGGTTTCAGAAATACCTAGAAAGACATATATAAACTGATGCAAAGTAACCAGGAGAACACTGTACACAGTAACAACAATATTATAATGACAATCAACTGTGAAAGACTTGCCTTTTTTATTTAATTTTTTTCTCAATTACATGTAAACAAAAATTGTTAACATAGGTTTTTGAAAATTTCTGAGTTCCACATTCCCTCCCTTCTTCCCCTCCCCCCTCCTTGAGAAGGCAATTAGTTTGATATAGACTATACATATGCAGCAATGGAGAGCATTTCTATGTTAGCTATGTTGCGAAAGAAAACACAGACAAAAAAAAAGATAAAAGAATAAAAGTTTTAAAAAGCATGTGCCAATCGGCATTCAGACTCCAACAGTTCTTTCCCTGGAGGTGGATGGCATTTTTCATTATAAGTAAAGTAGGGAGTTCTTTTCTAAGTAATTTGTCTTCTAGCTTTTCAAACACCAGGTTACTGAATTTTATTTTTTCTGATTCTCCCTTGTTAAGTCTCTTCCATTGATCTACTTCTCTATTTTTTAACCAATACTAGATGATTTTGATGTCTGCTGCTTTATAATATAGTTTGAAGTCTGGAAATGCTATTCTCCCTTCATCCCTACCTCTTTTTAATATTTCCCTTGACATTTTATTTTTCCAAATGAATTTTGTTATTATTTTATCAAGGGCTGCAAAGTATCCCTTTGATAGTGTGACTGGTATTGCATTAAAACCATCAATTAACTTTGGCAGTATTGTTATTTATCATATTGGCATGGACCAACCACAAGCACCAAATCTTCCTCCAGGCATTTAAGTTGTTCATTATTTCTTTAGGGAACATGTTGTAACTGAATTTATACAAATACTTTGTGTGCTTCGGTAGACTGACGTCCAAATATTTTATATATTTTATTCTTATTTGGAATGGGATTTCCCTATTACTGCCTCTTGGGTTTGTTCTTATTATATATAGAAATGTATAATATATAGAAATGCTATTGATTTTCAAGGGTTTTTTTCGTAGTCTGCAACTTTGCTAAAGCTATTATCTCAATTAGTATTTTTGTTGATTCACTAGTATTTTCTAAGCAAACCATTATATCATCAGAAGAATGGGATAGTTTTATCTCCTCTTTACCTATCTCTACAACTTTATTTCTTCATCTTGTCTTATGCTATTGCTAGCATTTTCAGAACTATATCAAATAACAGTGAGGAGAATGGGCATCTCTGTTTTACTCCTATACTTATTGGGAAAGTTTCTGATGTGGCCCCATTGCATATGATGCTTGCTTTTGGTTTTAGATAGATACTTTTTATGATATTAAAAAGGTCCCTGTATGCCTAGCCTTTGTTGTTGTCTTTTTAAATTTTCAGTTCCAAATTCTCTCCATCCCTCCACCCCCTTCCCCATCTATTGATAAGGCAAGAAATACAATATTCATTATGCATATGAATTCATTCTATGCCTATACTTATGTGGTTTCGAATGCATTTGGTTTTAATATGATTAATTATGTTGATTGTTTTCTTAATGTTGAGTCTTCCTTATATAAATCCAATTTGGTCATAATCAATGATTTCTTAAATGACTTTCTGTAGACTGTTTGACAGTATTTTATTTAAAATTTTTGAATTGATATTCATTAATGATATAAGACTATAGTTCTGTGCTTTATCCTTTCTTAGTTTAGGTATCTGTACTAGAGTTGTCCCACAAAGAGAGTTTGATAGAATGCTTTCTTTCTCAATTTTTGAAAATAATTTGTATAGTATTGGTACTAATTGCTTTTAAAAATCATATAGAATTTTACATAGAATATATACGGTTAGAATTATATAGAATTCTCCTATGAGGTTTTTCTTTCCCTTGGAGTTCATTTACAGCTAGTTCTTCTTCTTTTTCTGAAATTGGATTATTTAAAGGTCTCTGTTTGGTCTTCTGGTTTTGGGGAGGTGTTTTATATTTTTGAAGTTATTCCTCTGTTTCTTTTGTGTTCTCAGTTTTGGTAGCATGTACATAATAGTTCTGATAATTCTTTTTTATTTTTTTCATCTTTTAAGGTTCCTTCCCCTTGTGATTCCTATAGAAGATATAAAGCTGCAGTTTCTATAGATTGAAAGCTTCAGAAATTTTGGAGAAATGACCTAGATTCATTACAACTCTAATCTGTGCAACAACCCTCCCCCAAGAGGTTTTTTTTAGTTGTACCCCTACTTCCCCCCACACATACCTACTTTATGGCTCATGATAATGAGCTAACATGTGAAAATTCTTTCAAAGTGATTTCTGAAGGTTCCAAATAGGCAGTTTGGGATTTTCTGGGCTTTAGCTGTGTACAAGCCTTTCCCCGTGACTTCAGGGTTCACTGACATGCTAGTTGTTTGAAGGAAAGGCCGGGGTGTTAGTATGTGAAAGTTTGTAAAAAGCTTTCCATAGTGATGATGGGAGCCCAGTTGCAGCTTGTTCATAAAAATGGACTGTGAGTCAGGGGAAATGTCTTAAAGGGACCAACCAAGAACTGGAATCCATTTGCTCTGTGAACATCCCAAAAGACTCTTTTGCTTTCATCTTGAGAGATTTAGAACTCCTTTTAATTTACCATGTACAGGTAGAATTCTATTTTAATCCTTTTAACATAAGGATAAAGATTGGACCTGTGATTTCAGTGACACAGGGAACTGCCAGGTGAGAAAACTCCCTCCACCCAAGGCAGCCTGAGAGCAGTCTTAGAGAGCTGCCCCCAGCCAGGCTGTTTCAGAGGTAACCCTTGAACTCGGGTCTTCTTGGCTTCCTGACTTGGAGGCCAGGTCTCTGTCCACTGGACCACAGAGCCTCTCTCCTTGCTCACAGAATCACACTGTTCCCATGTCTTGCCCATGCAGATTCTGTTAAACAAAAAGAAGCCTGCACAGAACAAGTTGGTATTATCCATTTGAGCAATTTACTTAATGAAGATATGCTTTTAGTAAAATACTGATGTGCCTGTGTTTTAATGCTATCACAGTATTAAGGATTCCTAACACAAATGTTCATTTTTCTGATGACTGGTTAGAGAGTCAAGAGAACTATAATACCCAGGGGTCGACGGCAGCTCTGAGCAGAAACAAACTGAAACACTATGGGTAGTTTTCAGAAGCAGCAAATGCCTTGAACTTTAGAGCCAACAGTTCAGTTCAATACAGCAAGCATTTATTAAGCACCTATACTACACTAGAGGGGAACAAGCATTTATTAAGTGCCTACTGCGCCTTACAAATATTCTTGCAGCAACCCTGGGAGGTAGGTGCTATTATTATCCCCATTTTACAGTCAAGAAAACTAAGGCAGACAAAGCTTAAGTGATGTGCCCAGGGTCACACAACTACAAAGTATCTGTAGTAGGATTTGCACTTAGATCTTCCCAGCTCCAGACCCAGCACTCTATCCACTGTATCACATAGCTCTTCCTGGGAACGCAAAGCCAAAACAAACAAACAAAAAACCAGTACTGGCCACCAAGGAGCTTACATCCTACTCAACCTTCTCAACTTTGTCCTGTTCATAAGCAGCTCACTGCTTTTCTGTTTACATAGACAGATCAACCCCCCAGATGATACAGTGCTGCCATTGCAAACACCATAGTGGCAAGCTTTCATTGTAATGGTATAATGTCTCAAGTTCATTGCAGTGAGTGGAATTCTAACTATCATATTAACTTGGAATGTTTCAAAATTCCATTTCCTATTTAACACAGGAAGTTTTGTTGGAGCTCTTAGAACAGTGTGTAGATGGCTTGTGGAAAGCAGAACGTTATGAAGTAATCTCTGAGATTTCCAAATTGATTATTCCAATTTATGAGAAACGGCGGGAATTTGAGGTAAGCAGTTTGACTCATCATGAAACTATTGTAAAGTCTATTTTTGGTAGAATTGTTTAAAGGAAAGAAAGGAGACGGATAATTTCAAGTCTTGAAAAGATTAGTAATATCTTATTACTCTCATTTAACTGCATGTAAATTGCTATAAATTTAAATTAAATGCCAAATTATTATCACAACAAGAATCTTGGTTGTAATTAATGAAGAATGTCAGGCAGCAAAATAACACAATTACAGTCCAACAAAATCCTTGCAAAGAGCCTTGAGTTTTGAATCAGGCCCAGTGTTCAAATCCCAATTCTGTCACTTACCTGTATGGTCCTGGAGAAGTCAGTTAACTCCTCTGGGACTCGCTTTCCTCATCTGTAAAATGAGGGAGGTGGACGAGCTGGCCTTTAAGGTCTCTTCTGGGTTGTTCATCCATCTGTGGGTGACAACTCAGTTCTCTCACCTGTGGCTTCAAGAAGCTGTAGCATGCACAGTGGCTATACCCTGTCAGGGCCTCAAACCTGTAAGTGAGTTAGGGGGATGCCTATCCCAAATATTCAAAGACCTACCCTGGCAGAATGGGCAGGTGAGAACAATTTGTTCCAATGGCCACGAAGGTGGCTGAAGGAGGCACCGTGGAACACTTAGACACCAAGTCATCCCCTGCATCCCTGGCCGTTGCCAATTGTCTTGACTTTTGTCCTACTAACTAGACTTTGATGACTCTGGAAGAGAGAGTGAGACTGATGATTTCGTGCAATTCTGCCTCACCTAAATCCATTTCATACACAAGTCAAGACATCACCCTGTGATGTCACTGGTCCTCTTTGAAAATAACAACGAATAACAAGAAGGTCTCTTACCACTCTAAAGCTATGATTCCATGTGTGTGAAGTCCTTAAGAATATAACCTTGATTATTTTTATGAGATTCTTACTTAATATAGAATATATAACTTTACTTAGTGATCTAGTCAATAGCTCTGAGGTCTAGCCTTTTCATTGTGTTTTCAGAAAAAAGTCTGACGAGCATATATAAATATATGTATAAATATAAGTATATATAAATTTATGTAAGGCAAGGGAGAAAGTAGGCCCCCCCTATCCTGGAACAGAGTTAAGTTCCATACCCTGGTATGGTACTCCTGTTTCTTATAGGTATATGGTAGGGATCTTTGCAGGTTCTCTTAGGGGTGGAACAACAGTTCCTAAGCCCCTGGTACCTTCATTTGTCTGTGTATGTGGCTACAATAATCTGTAAAGTGTCAGGGCCAGGAGCTGTGAGGGAAGAGCAGTCAGTGTCTGTAGCTGAGTGCAGACTCAGGTACAGCAGCCACCAAGGCCTTAGAGATGGAATCTACCATTTCTGGAATATGAAGAGGAAGATGTGTTCACTGGGCACTCCTATGTACTTGTAAACATCTCTCTACCCAACAAGGGGAATGTAGAAGTGCCATACCAAAAAGTGGTGGGTATCAAAGGCTATATTTTACAAGTGCAAAATGTCTAATTCAGGAGGGCAGTGCTGCAGGGCCCTCGTAGATGGCTCTGTGACTGCAGGGATCTGGTTTCTCTTGTAGATACCAGGTTTATTCTTGCTCTTCTGAGTAATGGTGGCAGTGAAGAAGTGTCCTCATCCAAATCACTTTCCAAAGAAACTTCAATTTGAATGCATTAAAAAAAAAAGCCAGGCTGATATGTGTGTTTCACTTTTCAGAAACTTACTCAAGTTTATCGAACCCTGCATGGAGCATATACCAAAATTCTGGAGGTCATGCACACAAGGAAAAGGCTTTTAGGCACTTTCTTCAGAGTGGCCTTTTATGGACAAGTAAGTGGGCAGTGGTTGGCACAGCTGGAAACAAAATGACTATATTCAGCCTTTGTGTTACTGGACCAGCAAAGTACCTTTCAGGTCCTTTGCAGAGATCCATTTCAGGCCTGCTCTGGTTCCTGCATTGTGTTTAAAAGGTACCAGTACAGGATTGAAGATCTGGATTCCTTCTGTTCTGTTTCATTATTTATTAGGCTTACTAAAGTATGCATTTAAATTGGAGTAGATGTGGCTTTTAAAGGAAAAAAAAAAGGTAGGACTTCAGGAGAACAAGGGGAAAATCCCCTAGAGGCATTTGCTCTGGGTCTTTTGCCCAGAGTTTCCCCTTTTTGGAAGCCTTTGCTCCTTGGAGACTTTTTATGATATGATATGATATGGTATGATATGATAATGATATAACAACATATTTTAGAGGCTGGAGTTAGGAGTTCATTCTAAGAAGAGCTGCCCCCTTCCCTGGTTGCTTTGTGTTTGTCCATGTCACTTTGAGGTTGGTTTCCTGGGCTTCTGCCTATGGTTGCCTTCCCTCCCAGATTTAGCTATGCTCATTCAATCTGCTACCCCTCCCCAATTCAAAACAGCCCTTTCCCCATTGCCGGGGAAGCAGGAGAGTGAAAGGGGAATGAAAGAGTATCACAAACAGATTCAGCTCATGGGCAAAGTTTGGGTTCCTCCCAGGCTTCAGGCATGGCAAATTTGCCCCCATTTGACAATACTGCACAGAACACAGGGTAAGTAAGTCCAAAGGAGGCAGCTAGGTGGCGCAGTGCATAGAGCACCGGCCCTGGATTCAGGAGGACCTGAGTTCAAATGTGGCCTCAGACACATAACACTTATTAGCTGTGTGACCCTGGGCAAGTCACTTAACCCCACTGCCTAGCCAAAAAACAAAAAACCAAAACGAAAGTAAGTCCATATAGCCTGTGTAGTACTGATACACAGGAATGTTTCCTTTTCTTCATGCCATTCTGTGGTTTCTCCAGAATCAGGCTCTTGCTGCTGCTTTCAGAGAGGTAGAAATGGGTTTTGCTATAATTACTTAGCCTTTTATTTGTATATTAACTTTTGGATCTTAGATATCTTTTAATTGCTTTGTTTTCAAAATAATCCAAAATATGTTTTTAATGAACAGATTAAATAATGTCTGCCCGTGCCATTCTTAAATGGTTCTACATTTTAACTTTGCAATAGGCTTTCTTTGAAGAAGAAGATGGAAAGGAATACATCTACAAAGAGCCAAAGCTCACAGGCCTATCAGAAATCTCCTTGAGACTCATTAAACTTTATGGTGAAAAATTTGGTACAGACAACGTCAAAATAATCCAAGATTCCGACAAGGTAATCCGTGCCCTGCAATTTTTTTTGGAAAGACTTTCTATGTCCATTCCAAGATATCTTGATTATTTCCATCTTTCAATGATGTGGCAGCAGGCTACAGACATCCTCCATACATTTGGGACGTGGAAGGAGGGAAGGGCAGCGCCCCTTTATTTTACAGGATCAAATGAAATTCATAGACACGCAAGTTCATTACAGTTTAAAATATTAGCCAAGGTGAGCTTATTATTGTCTCCACCTTGAATTCTCCGGTGGTATATAGCACATTGCATGGAATAGTCACTTCATCAGTTTATTTACAAAATGTTGAAAGGGAAACAGAACGAATGATATTGACATGGTTTTGACTTATTCTGTACACTTTGGCTGTCTTTAAACACACTGAAACTTTCTTCTATTTATTCCATTAGTATGAAGGTAAACATACAGCAGTTTCTTTAAGAGAAAACAAAGGTTTTGCATGATTGATTTCGGTTTCTGTGTCACAAGTAATAAGAATGTTATTTGGAATAATATTTGTCTCAGACACTAAATCAACTGAAAGCAAAATGTTTTCAATTAGTTGAGCGTTGACAACTCCTTTTTCTTGTTCAAATATTGAATTTAAATAGGAGTAAATGGTAGGAGTGGGAAACTGCAGTCTCTTTTTAATGTGTACTAAACACTGGTCAGGATCACCTGGAAACAAATGATCTGATTCTCATATCATCTTTCTACAGATGATTACTGCCAGTTTCTAAGACACAAAATGAAACTGAACAAATATGTATTAAGCACCTGCTGTGTACACAGAACCCTGTGCTAGGCTCTAGGGAAAATGAACAATTTAGAAAGATGCAGAATTGAAGAATCTCACAATATTTTACATTTCAAGTGCCACACGAGTTCATCCTCACAATCTGTCACAGGAAAATGACTCAGGTCTTTGTGGGGGCCAGTGGGAAGGTTAATAACATATTTTTGCTGCAGGCCCAAGAGTACTGAACCACATTTTTTACAAAGCCATTATGCCCTGAAGATCCAGCAGATGCCTTCTGGAAGCAGGCCCAGCTCAGGCTGGTTTTGAACATCTGAATTCCATAATTCCTTTGGGGCAAGGCCAGGATGAGTCATCCCAGTTCCCAGTTTAGTATACAGGGGTAGGGAGGGGAAGTAGGATTGGTTCAGTCAAGTAGATCCATGTCTAGAAGCAAGTATTGATAAACTGGGGCTCCAGCCTGAGGGCATCCCTCATTCCAGTCTATCAGCCATCAGCTTCTTCTAAATTGGTTGCCATTGGGTTTGGGCTTATTTATGCTCCTTTTCCCCCTCTAGTGAATAACGTTTGTCTTACAGGTAAACATCAAAGATCTTGATCCAAAGTATGCTCACATCCAAGTCACTTATGTGAAGCCCTACTTTGAAGACAAAGAGCTGTCTGAAAGAAAGACGGAGTTTGAAAACAATCATAACATTACCAGATTTGTTTTTGAGGCCCCTTATACTTTATCTGGCAAAAAGCAAGGCTCTGTGGAGGAGCAGTGCAAACGGCGGACCATTCTGACCAGTAAGTGTCCCTCCCGCACTGGTGCAGTCCCCTTTGATTCGTACAAGTGGTGGCTGGCTAGCGTAAAAGTGGTAGCTGCCATCCATGGCTCTCCTGCAGACTCAGCTCTGTGCTGTGCTGAACCCTAACGCTGCCAGAACCCCCAAATGCTCGAAAAGCTTCCCCAGCTCTGCTGCTGAAATATGCCAATCCCAGAGAAGTCAAGGGGGGAAAGAGAGCCTTTTGGGGTTTTGTTTGACTATTAGGAAAAATGATTGCTGAGATAGTGAAACTAATTTGGCATTTTAATAGCATCAAACTCGTTCCCATATGTTAAGAAGAGGATCCCTATCAATCATGAACAACAAATTAACTTAAAACCCATCGATGTTGCCACTGATGAAATAAAAGAGAAAACAGCTGAGCTGCAAAAACTCTGTTCTTGTGCTGATGTGGACATGATTCAGCTGCAACTCAAGTTACAAGGCTGCGTTTCTGTCCAGGTACGTCCTGCAGTCAGTACTTTATGCCAGCATTCCCTGAAGCTTTGCTGGTGAGGATCATGGAAAACACTGAAGCCTGGGGACAGGAGGCAGAGCTGTCAATTCATTCTAATGCAATTATACGTTCAATTACTTTCTCTCTACTTTACAGTGTTGTCCAATCACTGCTAGAGCCAAGTTCTGAATTTACAGACCAGAAATCATTAACTGATTCATTAGAATGGCATCTTTCCCTAAGACTGGTGTTAGCAAACAAGGACAAGGAGGACAAAGCAAGGCCTCCAGTACTTACTTTGATGCCTCCTCCCCTTCCACTGGCAGGCATTTGTAGCCCCTTCAGGCCATGGCTTCCTATACATCTTTTGGGGGCAGCTAGGTAGTGCAGTGGATAGAGTTCAGGGCCCGGAGTCAGGAAGACTCATCTTACTAGCTGTGTGACCTTGGGCAAGTCACTTCACCCTGTTTGCCTCAGTTTCCTCATCTGTAAAAAGAGCTGGAGAAGGAAATGGCAAACCACTCCAGTGTCTTTGCCAAAAAAAAAAAAAAAACAAACCCAGATAGGGTCACAAAGAGTTGGATATGACTGGACATCAATCTCAAAGCTCTTGCTCCTGAAAAGAAGAAAAAGCAAAAATGATTTTGTATTTAAAGTTACTTTTATTTCAGCTATAACTATAATGAAGCTACAGTGATAGCTCATGGGGCACACAGTCATACCCACCAGCATTTCTGACTGTGTTAGTGTGCTCTGGGAATCTCTGAGACCCTGGCAGGAGGTCCTCAAGGTCAAAACAGTTTTTGTAATAATACCAAGGTGTTTTAACTCCTGATATGGTAAATATAATCAACATAAACGATCTTTGGGAGGAGGTCCTCAGTTTTTAAGAGCATAAAGGGGTCCTGACACCAAAAAGTCTGAGAACCACCACAGACTACTTCTTTCCAAGAGATGAGATAACTCTTAATTCTCTCATGTCATTTATCTCCCCGTACAACTTTAGGTAAATGCTGGCCCCTTGGCGTATGCCAGGGCTTTCTTAAGTGACAGTCAGGCCACCAAGTATCCCACAAAGAAAGTGAATGAACTGAAAGACATGTTTAGGTAAGTAACTCTTGAGCTTCTGGGTGTTAGACTCCAGTCCCTCCCTTGGTCATTTTCCCCCTGCCAAAAAAAAAAAAAAGAGAGAGAGAGAGAGAGTAAGAGATCACTAGGCTCTGGTTCTTTAAGTGGCCACATTCTCTCTAGTAGTAGGGGAAGCACACAGCCTTTCTCACAGCCTGAATGTTGCTGACTTCTCAGGAGTGGCTCAGGATTTTTCCAGTTCAGGATTTCAGGCAGAGCAAACCGAAGCCCAGGTACCATGTCCATCACAATACCTGGATTTGCACACATACACCCCCCCCCACTAGCTCCCTTTCCTTCTAAATTGTGCAATATTTAGTCTTCAGTGAGAGGCCCTGTGGCAGGTGGCCCCAAAGGCAGGACTGAACAGGCTTATGTTAGAATTATTCTGATTATTTCAAAGCAAAGTGCTTTGCAAACTTATAAGAGGCAGAGAAATGTTAGCCTCTCTCCCTATGTGTGTTACACATAAGGTAGATGATGGAGGGAGTTGCCACCAAGGCCATGCCTTTCTTCTAGACCGGGGTGGTCAGCCTGCGGCTTCGAGGCCACGTGTGGCCGTGTGGGTCCTTGGGTGCAGCCTTTTGACTGAGTCCAAGTTTTACAGAACAAATCCTTTTATTACGGGGATTTCTTCTCTGAAGTTTGGATTTACCCTAACCCTAAATGCGAACTGGGCAACATGCTTCCTTTCTGTCCTCTAGCCCTAATCCTAAAAATGTCTTGGTTAATTGAGGAAACATACACCTGAATGAAATAACCAGCGAACACATGATGACATCATGGTCCATTTGAGTCTTTAGAAGACCCAGCTCATGCTTGCAGGTACCAGATTCTGAATATCTGTTGATATTCAAATAAAGGACATATTCAAATGCAGATGCGAGTCTGTGGCAAAGCCACCCAAGGCCCTTTTGGCTTGATCAGGAACATGCCACAGTGCACATGAGGCCCTTCTGGCAGCAGGTCAGCTCTGCCAAGACTTCAGACTGACCTGAGTAGCTCCTGATCATTAGGAGGACAAAGGGGGCTAGAGCCTTTACAAATGACCCAGTCAAGGGGAAGCTGGACCTAAACGCCTTTTGGATACACTAGCCTGAAGTAAACTTGAGGAGTCTGGTAACATTTTCTCTGGTGCTCTGTTGTTGTACAGAGGGACATTGCTAGCTAAATGAGTCTAGGGGAAACTGGTCAAGGGTCTTGAGGCCTTGAGTCAGTGATAGGAACATGTTTAGCCTGGTGAGAAGATGACTGTTTCGGGGTGACACATGAGAGCTGTATTTATTTGAAGGGCTGCCCTGTTAAGGAGGACTTGGTCTTTACAGTCCCCGATGGCACAACCAGGAGTATTGGGTGGGAGTTGCAAAGAGGCCAACCCTTCGAGTTGTCCCAAAGTGGACTGGGCTGCCTTTGGTAGACGGGTTGGACCAGATGGCCACTCCCTTCCAACTCTCAAATTCTGTGAGTGTTAGGTTCAGTGTCCATGTCCACCCCCACCCCACCCCTAGTCGATCTTCCTAGGTGGCATAGTGGATGGAGCGCAGGGCTCAGGAGTCAAAAGCTATCTCAGATGACTTAGTAGCCTTGTGATCCTAAGCAAGTCATTTAACCTCTTGCAGTCTCAATTTCCTCATCTGTAAAATGGCATAATGATACCGCCGAATTCATAGGTTGTTGTGAGGATCAGGTACGATAATATCTGGAAATCACTTTACAAACCTTAAAGTGTGATATAAATGTGAGCACTTAACACGCTTTGCACCACGTGAACCTCCAGACTGCTTGGGCTGTCATGCCAAGTTCCCTCCAGGTTGATCTGCTTATACCGACATTCCACCAAGTGGAATTCCACCCTCCTGTGGTCCAAACTTCCTATCTGAAACTGAGCTTAGGGAGAACTCATTGTTATTTTGCATCGTTATTTAATTCTTGCTCGATTGTGTAACTTTTCCCCCAGACAGTGGGGGGAGGGGTGTTAGAGGCAATTCTAGCTTACATTTCTGAGTACTTCCTAGCACTCAGTTGCTATTTGTTGAGTAAGTGAAGGAAATAGAATCAACCATCAACTACATACCAAAAGTAAAAACTTCATGTGTAAGTTCTGAGATGGGGAAATCAACTGGCAAATTTCCTGGAGGATATGAACTGAGAGCCAGATTTTCACAAAGAAAAGCAAGTATGGGGCAGAGCATTCCAAGCATAAAGGAAAAAGGCCAGAGGAAGATCAAGACCCCTGGTCTTTCCACTAAGCAGGTCACAATTTTAAATGCATATCAAACTGTCACAGCAACTTTTTTTTTAATGCAGACCTGTGATTTCGTTGGCATAGATACCTAGAGCTTGGCACAGTGCCTAGCACTTTGTAGGCACTACTAAGGAACTAGCTGACACAGAGGAAACTCCTCCCTATGCTGATTAGCAACTGTTTTACAACTTACTGCCTTAGAGAGTTGCCTAAGGACAGTGAAGGGTTAAGTGACTAGTCTAGGGTCACACAGCCAATCTGAAGCAGAATCTGAATCCTCAAGTCTTTGTGACCCTGAGACTGTCCTCCATCATGGAAAAAGACCAGGGATAAATGAAATCTGCTCTGTTCATGTTCACCCACAGGAAATTCATACAAGCCTGCAGCATTGCTCTTGAACTCAATGAACGACTTATTAAAGAAGATCAAATCGAGTACCATGAAGGACTCAAGTCAAATTTCCGAGACATGGTCAAAGACTTATCTGACATTATCCACGAGCAGGCAAGTATCCTGGTGCCCAATGACATTACTCTGAAAATGGGCTCTATTTGAAAGTTGGCATATGCTTTATTCTACCACTTCAAACAAAATCAGCAAGCATAAGCTATTAATCTTCCTTAAATCCCTTGATTTGCCAAAATGTCATTGGACAATACTAGCTGAGTAAATCTTAACCAATATACTCTCAGCTTGGGGAAGAGCCTTTCACGAATTTTCTAACTTTTATAAATTCATTCATTCTATTTCTATAGCATCTAACAATCCATCCCTTACTCTGTACTCACACTGCTACCACCTGGATCTTGGAAGAGCTGTCTCACCTCAACTGCTCTCCCTCCACATCACCACCAAAGTAACTTTCCTAAAGCACAGTTCTGACCCTTTCAACTGACACTTTCCCTCCTATTTCACTGAAAAAATGGAGGCCATTCATTGCGAGAGCTCCCTCTTCTTCAGACCTCCTCTTTCACCTCTGTCTTACAGGAAGAGGTTGCCCTTCTATTTGCCAAGGCTAATCTTTCTATGCACATGCAATCCCAATCCATCCTATCTTCTTCAGCACACTGCCCCCTCTATCAGCCCTCTATTTCACTTTTCACAAAGCAATCTTTAATTGCTTCCTATCAACTGGCTGCTTCCCTACTACCTACAAATATGCCTATATGGCCTCTTAAGAAAAACCATTTGATCTGTCCATCTCCATTAACTATCATCTAATGTATCTTTTCCCCTTTATGGCTAAACTCCATGGTAAGGTCATCTACAATAGGTGCCTCTATGTCCTTTCCATTCACTGTCTTCTTAAGTCTACACTTTGGCTTCTGACCTCATTATTCAACTGAAATTGCTCCTCTCCAAAGTTACCAAGGATCTCTTTATTACCAAATCTAGTGGTCTTTTCTCAATCCTCATCTTTCTTGACCTCTCTGCAGCCTTATACATCGCTGCTCAACCTTTTCTTGTAACACTCTCTTCTGTCTAGTTTTCAAGACACTGTGCTCTCCTGGGCTTCCTCCTCCCTGACTGCTCCTTCAATGGATCTTTTTCCACATCATGCCCACTAACAGTGGGAGTCCCTCAAAGCTTTGGCCTGGGTCCTCTTTTTCTCTACTATGTCACTAGGTGATCTCATCAGCTCCCATCAGCTGATTCAGTCATTATGTCTATGCAGATGACTCTCAGATCTACTTGTCCAGCCCAAATGCCTATGGGGCATTTTGAACTCTGTCTCATAGATATCTTCAAATCACTATGTCTAAAAGTTGAGCTCATTACCTTCCCTCCAAACTCTTCCTTCTTCCTAATTTCCCTGTTTCCGTTGAGGGCACCATCAACCTCCCAGTCACCCAGGCTCACAACCTAAATGTCATCCTCAACGCCTCACTCAGTCACCTCCCATATCCAATCAGTGACTAAGTCCTTCCAGATTCTACCTTTGTAATGGCTCTCATATCCTCTTCTCTCCTTGGACATTGCAACCACCCTAGCATAGTTCTTTATCACCTAAAGCCTGGACTACTGAAATAGCATGCTGGTTAGTCTCCTGGCCTCCAATCTCTCCCCCTGCAATCCATGCTCCATTTTGCTGTCCAACTGATTTTCCTCAAGTGTCTGACCATAACATCACCCCCCCCCCCACACACACACAGAGGCAATAAACTCCAGAAATCCTGTTGGGCATTGAAAGCCCTTCATAGCCTGGCCTCTTCTTACTTTTCCAGTCTTCTTACACCTTACTTCCCCACCATGTACTCTTTAATCCAGTGACACTGGCCTTGTTCTTACTTGTATTTAACACATCTCCCCACTCCCAGCATTTTCACTGGCTGTACCCCATGCCTGGAATGCTCTCTTCCTCATTTTAGCTTCTCTGGCTTCCTTCCAGTCTCAGCTAAAAGCTCACCTTCTGCAAGAGACTTTTCCTCATTCCCCTTCATGCTTTCCTAAGATTATCTCCATTTTATCCTAGATAGAGCTTGTTTGTATACAGTTTTTTGCATGTTGTCTCCCCCATTAGATGGGGAGCTCCCAGAGAGCAGGGACTGCTTTTTACCTTCCTTTGTATCTCCAGTTATCAGCACAATGCCTACCACACAGTAGGCACTTAGTAAATGCTTGCTGACTGACTGATCAACCATGTCAGTTCTGATCAATGAACTGTAATGACTCCCTACCTCAAAGATCAATCAATCAATCAATCAATCAATATGCATTTATTAACTACTATTTGGCAGGAACTGTGGATCAAATACAGACTCCTGTTTGGCATGTAAAGCCCTTCACAACCTGGCACCAACTTATCTTCCCAGATAAATTTATTATCCTTTCTCCCTTTCATGCACTGTAGTTAAGCCAAACTGGCCATCTTGACCTTGGGTCAAGTCAAGTCACCAAGCATTTTTAAGGGCCTATTTCACTTACATTTGGACAAGGGTATACCTTAGTCAAAATGGGACAGTGCAGTGATGCTATGTGTCAGGAAGATATATCATTGCATGGAAACCCATGAACCTGAGATGATGAAGTGAATGGCATTGGAGTGAAGACAAAAGGAGAGAGAGAAATTTTATATGTCATTGGAGTACACTGATAATGAGCTAACTATACCAAGATGACATTTAGTAGCAATGATATATAAATCTTAGACTAAGTTTCAAAAAGTCATATGTAAAAATAAATAAGTTGTAGCTTTAGAGTAGTTTATCTGTGAAAGATTTCAAGGTTTTGGTTGCAAAGAATATGAGTCTACAGCGTGATAAAGTTAGTCTAGGATGATGAGGGGATTAAAAACTGTCTTATAAGGAACAGTGAAGGAACTGGGGATGTTTAGGCTGAAGAAAAGAGAACTTAGGTGGGGGCATATTATGTCCATCCCAAAATCCCCACAGCTATCATGTGGAAGATGGGTTTGTTATTCCGAATAGTGTCAGACATAAGAACTAGGACTGGTGAGTAGAAGTGAGCTGGAAAGAGAAGGGAAAACCAGTCCAGTGCCTTTGTTTTCCAAATCTCCCATCAGAACAGTCAGCTGGGGAGGTTTCTGTGAAATTGCTATTCTAAGGTAAAATCCTTTTATTAAATGAAGTGCTACAAGAGAACCAGATCTTATAAAGTGTTCAGCTAGAACAGGAGAAATTGAAATGATCACATACATGTGAAGTATTGTCTTAAGGGATGACAGTGTATGAACTGTAATTTGCATGCAGCTGCTGACCTACTCTTGAACCCATAATTATTCAAAGTAAAAGCAAATTACTCAGTGTGGCGAATTATTACAGGATCAAGAAAGATAGTGTTTAAAACAAACAGTTCTTATGTATGTTTTTTTTTCTCTAAACAATGAATTTTGCAAATCTATTGCCCTTTTCCCCATTGTCAACTCCTTGCCACAAAACATGGCAGCTCTATTTGGTTAATGGGATGAATATTTTGGCTACTGAATATTTTAGGTTGAAAACCAACCCAAGATATCAGAGCTTAGAGTGTTTGTATTCATGAGCCTCTTGTCACTGTGTGGGTATACAGGTTTGTCTGGACTTTTATGTTCCACATACATATAGACAGTCTGTATATGCAAAGAATATGTGACATTTATAGATAATGCATATATTGTCTATAAAAAAGCATGTATTTTATATAACAAATATATATACGTATATATATATGCCCACAATAACTAGCATTTACATAGTGCTTTATGGTTTGCAAAGCACCTTACATTTCTTATCTCATTTGGTCCTCAACAACTCTGGAAGGTAGGTGCCATTATTATCCCCATTTTACAGATGAGGAAACTGAGGCTGAGAGAGATTAAATGATTTGCCTAGGGTCACCCAGCTAGTAAGTGTCCGAGGTACGATTCAAATTCAGATCTTCCTGCCTCCTAGTTCAGTGCTCTATCCATTCTTGTTGAATTCAACCTCATTTTATATATGAGAAAACTGAAACCCATAAAGGTGGAATGACTCCAAGGTTCTGCCACACAGATCTCCTGACTCCCGGGCTAGTGTTCTTTCCATTATAAAGTTGGAAATGCATCCCAGAGGGAAGAAAATGGATGTCCTGAAATTCAAGGGTGTGCTGTAGTCAGCTCTAAATGATTCGCTAGGGCCAAATTTTCAGTGAGAGCATTTACACCTCAGAAATGGGCTAAGCTACAAACCAGGGCTTGATTGTTTTGTCAGTTGTCCTAGACTTAAGGGAGTATTAATAACAAAGACTGAACTTAAAAGTGCAGCTGCATACACTTCCCAGAGCACCTCTGTATTGCTCTATAAACATTGCTTCACCTTAGCAGGAGGGACAGTTTTTAATCCTTTTATCTTCCCAGACTAACTGCATCACACTGTAGACTCATATTCTTTGCAACCAAAACCTTGAAATCTTTTACCCATAAACTACTCTAAAGCTACAACTCATTTATTTTTCTTTTACAATTGACTTTCTTTTTGTTTGTTTTTGGGCAATTGGGGTTAAGTGACTTGCCCAAGGTCACACAGCTAGTAAGTGTCAAGTGTTTGGTCTGAGGTCGGATTTGAACTCAGGTCCTCCTGACTTCAGGGCCGGTGCTTTATCCACTGCACCACCTAGCTGCCCCTACAAACGACTTTGAAACTTTCCTAGAGCACCCCTGTATTGCTCTATAAACATTGCTTCACCTCAACAGGAGGGCAGTGGAAGACTTAGGAATGAAGTCATCACCAGATTGGGAGGCATGGTGATTGTAGGCTAATAATAATAATAATGATGATAGGCATTATTTTAGCGCTTTAAGGTTTACAAAGTGTTTTCTATTCCATTATCTCCTGTGAGCTGCCAAGATGTAAGAAAAATTACATTTATAAATACAGTTAATCATTTCAAGTGATACTTTTAGAGGAACCACAAATTCTGTGAGCCAGGAGGATCACATGGAGAAGAGGGGGAGCCTTGCTTGACCCTTAGTTCAGCTACCTCCCCCAACATCATATTGAAATTCCAAAACCAAACTAGAACCAGGTGTTCAAGGCATATTGTGAATCAGAAGATGGGCTTAAAACACAAGCTGGTGACTAATGAATAAAATGGACTGGGGGGTGGGGGAAGTCAAGAAACCCATGTTGCCTTTGCTTTCATGGCTGCCTACAGGTTTAGAATTTTCCATATTTATAAAAGGGAGTTTTGTTACCAATCACAATATTTTGCATCATTTGATAGTAGTCAGCTTACAAAGCATAAGGAGTTGTCAAGAATTATGCACTTGGGACTCTGTCTTCACTGGTTATTTCCTTTGAAAGCTCAAAAGTATTATTTCAAATCTCTATTTTATGGATGCTCAACCCTACCTTAGACAAGGTAAGCCCAGTTTGCCACCACATTCCTAATTTCTTTCAGTACAAAAGTGCGTCTGTTGCCTAGTTTGGTGCATTAGCAAGCAAATTTTAAGCCTTAAGCAGAGACCACTGGGTAGAGTTCTTGCTTAAAGCATTTGTTGGAAAAATATTTAAGGATTGTGGCATTCGTGCCTTATACCAGCAACTTTCTATTGAATTTAATCTAACCAGTTAAGAACACTAGTCACATTTTCTTAATGAATAACCAATCTTTTTCTTACTTTTTTGCTATGCTGCCTTTGCAACCCAGCTCTGAGGACTCAAGTGGGTAATGTTATACTTTGTCATTTCTGCCTTATGTCATTTTACCCGGCCGTCAGTGATGAGTTGAAACTATGCCTGCTATTTCACATTCACCTTCTTTTTCAACAATGGCTACACTGCATTATGCCTAACATGTGGGTTTGTTATGTTTTAGATGTTTCAAGAAGACACAATGCATTCTCCCTGGATGAACAACACGTTACATGTATTCTGTGCAATCAGTGGGACATCAGGAGATGGAGGATATGGTTCCCCAAGATATACGGCAGAAGTATGAAGAATGACGGATGCAACATTCACCTAGACTGCCCTTTCCCAGGCATTTTTGGAACTGTGCAGATGTTAGAGGGAAGGCTTGATATCCGTGAAGTATTTCTTATTACCACCAACAACCAACACTGTCAAGCTCTCAAACAGGGTGCTTACTTATTTGCAATATTTAAGAAATGTGGAAGTGCCTGGATAATGCACCACTGTGCTTGTTTTGTATTTTTTTTTAGTTAAAGCCTTGTACTAGAAAGCAGAGCTCAAACAAATGAATTCAGTTTGCTCACTTATGGCTCAAAATTGTAATGGTATGTAAAGCTGTACAATGGGATATAATAAAAGGCAAAACATTTGTAATCGGAAGGAAAGAAAATATTACTTTGCATCTTCCATTGTCACAGCAGTCCTTGGGGAGAGGGTTCATATGATTTTCTGAAAACAAATTTAAGAAAGAAAATACTTCAAAACGGGGAGCTATTTGTATCCTTCTCTTTAAGGCACACTTACACTAATGGAACCAAGAGGCTTCCATTAACCAGGAACTTGCAGAATGCCAATTCCAGAGCTGAGGGTAGAAAACAACAGGCCTTCGGTTCCTGAGGTTGCTCTGAGCACTAAGGGAAAGATCTGGGCCCCTTCGTGCCTATGGAAGGGGTTCTAGATGCAATCTCTACATAACTAGAATCCAGAGCATGCAGCATTTGTCCCCAACCTCTTGGACTTGATGGGCCCAAATCCCATTTGGGGATGCTCCCAAAGCTGGCCCAAACATTTCTCCACATTTACAGTCTGCAACAGAACGTGAACCCAAGATGGGCTGTGATTATCCATTTGGGGAAAGGAATGATCATTTATAGAGTCCCTAGTATGTGCCAGGCATATGCTAAGCTAGTCACAAATATTATCTCGTTGGATTGTTGTTACTACCATTCTTACTCACTTTTCTTATAGTCTTATCAAGTATCCATAGGGCATGATGAACGTTCTGCACTTTGGTTCAAACACCAATAGAAGATGAAGAGGGCTCAGAGAACTGCTATTAACGTGAGCCAGCAATGGGAGGAGCTTCCCCTGAAGCTATTGGTACTTTAGGCTGCATTAAGAAAAGAATGTGAGAGATGACAAAGTTGCTGTCCTCTGCCCTGGTCAGACACCATCAGAAGTACTTCAGTGCTGGGTGCTATCTTTTAAAAGGGATGTTGTCAAGCTGAAATGTGTCTAGAGAAGGGTGAATGGGATAGTAAGGGGTCTCAAACCGTGACATAAGGAATTAGGGATGAAGAAGAGAAAGTAATGTAGACATACATGATCACTAAGTAATAGATGTGTGTTCATGTGAGATGTGGATGTCCATGAGTTGTCTAATTACATGGATGTAGCTTTATGGGTAGGCATGAACAGATGTCTATGGAATCTGGCATACCCCTCTCCAAGACAGGCTGCAACTTCTGCCTAGATGAGAGCAGAGGGGCTGTGGAGAGGCACTTGCTCCTTACCTTGCCTATGTCCCAGAGGGATATTGGGCTGGAATTTTATCTAGCCCCTAAAATATCTCTGTTCTAATCTAAGGAGACAATTTTAGAGATTAAGAACAAAAGTGACTTCCCTAGCCACTTGAAGAAGGTATCCCCAAACTCACTCATTGGCTTAATTATGCCCCCCACCACCACCAATTTCTAGTTACACAAAAGACAATGGTATATAGTGAATAGCAAGTAAACTCATTTGTCCAAGCAAAACATCAACCAAATTAGAGAAGTTCTGCAGATCAGAATACCAGAAAATACACAAGAACGAATGAATTCTGCTGGGAGCCAGATAAGATCTTCACTCAAACCAAGAGAGAGGTCCAATTTTACCCAAGGAGAAATTCTGTCTGCTAGGTCTCCGGGGAGGCAAGCTGGACATCAGGGACATATTGAAGAGCCAGTTTCCTCTGCATATCTTTTTTCTCCATGTGTCTCTTCCAAAGGGTCTCTGTAACCATGTCTCCAAAAAACACTTTGTCACCAACTCCATCTCTCAGGTAGGTAAGCAGTTCCACCTCCGTTTTCTCTTTCCCAATCAGGAATCACATCTCCCTCTATATATATAACACAACACAGGACTGCCCTTTTCCCACAGTACTTGGGTAGGAGCCAGGGTTACAACTGTCTTTATTAAAGAGCTATCATCTCCAAGAGGGATTATATGCATTCCGTGTAATTCCTGAGAGCAGAAGACCAAAAGACAGAAATGACAAGGTGGCAGATTTGGGCTCAATATAAAGGAAATCGTCAACATCTCTTACATCTGTCTACTTCTCCCAACTCTCACCATAACCGCCCTAGTCCAGGCCCTCACCATCTCTCACCTGGACCACTGCAAGAGCCCCCTAATCAGTCTCTATCTATCCCACATTCCCTCTTTCCAATCCATCCTCCACACAGCTGCAAGTGGTCATCTACCATTTACTAAGTGCCTAGTTGCCAGACACATTGTTTGAGATACAAAGAAAGGCAACAAACTAGCTCACAGTCTAAGGGGAGAGACGACACGCAAACTGTGGACGAACAAGATACGTAGACAGGATAAACTGGAGACAATCTCAGAGGGAAGGCATTAAGATTAAGGGAACTGGAAAAGGCTTATTGCGGAAGGCAGGAAGCCAGGGAAGCCAGGAGGTGGAGATGAGGAGGGAGAGCACTCCAGGCAAAAGGGACAACCAGTGAAGATGCTCGGAGTTGAGAAAGTGTGTCATGTTCAAGGAACAGCAAGCGGGCCAGCCTGTTGTCACATGGAGGGGAGTGAGGTATAAGAAGACTGGAAACAGGTTCCAAAGGGCTTTGAAAGCAAAAATAGCTGCAAATTGGATATTCCTAAAGCGCTTTTTTGTTCAAGGAGCTGCAGCGGCTCCCCATTGTCTTCCTCTGCTGGCATTTCAAACCCTTCACAATCTGGCTTCAGTTTGCTTTTCTAGGCTTACACATCATTCCTCCCTCCACTCACTAGTCCCCATACATGACACTCTATGCTTTGCCCAGGCTGTCTCCTATGACTGGGATACTTTCCCTCTATAATTTTGCTTCTTTAAACTCATAGCTCTCTTCAAGGCTCAATTCCAGTGTCACCTCCTTAAAGGGCCCTTTCCTGATTCCCCCCCACAGTTGTTAGCAGCTCCTTCCCACCCCCACCCACCTCACCCCCATCACTGTGCATTTAATCTGTGAGCAGTTTGTGGTCCTCTAGTAGAATGTAAGTTCTTTTGTTTTTGTCTTTGTATTGCCTTGCACAAACTTGTTGACTGATCAATAACAGAGTAATGAAATGGGCTGTGTTTTAGGTAGCAAGTTCCCATTTACTAAACATGCGAGTAGAGCTTTGAAGCCCCATCATTAATACAATTCATACAATATATATTCAACATAAGAGAAGATATTCATGATATGCCAGCATCAATGGATAAAGGCAGATCAAAGATATTACAAAAGAGATTCCTAACCCAACTCTGAGATTCTGTGATACTAAAACTTTATTTACATGCTCTCTTTGGTCAAGTCTATGTGGTCATTTTTACTGGATTAACAAATACCAGCAATAACACTTTCATTTTTGGAGAAACCTCACATTATCTGAGTAATTCAGGAAATGCCAGGCTTTGTTGCTTATATTATCCAGGTCACGTGGGCAACTTCTCACTTCCCTTAAGCTTCTGGTCTATTATAGTAACTTCAGGGGAGCACTAATAAATGCTAAACAACCAGGACGGGGGGGGGGGGAAGTACCCATGAGATATTTTTCAGTTTGCAATGTATTATTAACACTTTCTCTATCACTTAAGTCTAGACAATTAACAAAATAAAAAATCAAGCCCTTATTTGTAGCATTTGCTGAATTGTGAGGTGTAAAAGTTCACGTTGAAAATCTAAGGATCAGCAGCTCCAACACATCCCTGATGAGTCCTCTTTTACAGATGATGAAGAATCTAAGAAACATGCTGCTGGAGGTGACTGCCACACTTCACGACAAGGAAATTATCCTAGATTTTGGCCATGGCAGGAAGAGACTCCAGGGTCCATTTAGTCCAGTCATCTCTTTTTTATAAATGAGGAAACTACAGCCCAGAGAAAGGAAGTGATCCGCCCAAGGCCAGAGTATTAGGGAGCAGAGGTAGGGCCGATAGACTCTCAGGCTGGGAAGGCATCTCAGAAGACATCCAGGGAAGCCTATGACTCAACAACAATTCAGCCTCTGCTTTAGTCATGTCAGTGAGGGGGAACCCACTCTGCCTCCTCAGGTTGGCCTCTGAGGTCCCTTTCAGCTCTAACTTGATGACCTATGACCCCAAGGCAGCCCATTCCATTTTGGGATAGTTCTAATTTCTAGAAAGTTTTTCCTTACACCAAACCTAAACCTTTGTAATGACCAGCCACTGCTCCTTGTCCTGCCCTCTAGGGCCAAGCAGAATAAATCGAATCCCTTCTCTATATAATAGCCCTTAAAGAAAGTGATTGTCTTCTCCAGGATAAGCAGTGAGTTTTCGATCAGTCCTCACATGGCATGGTCTCCAATCCACTTATCATCCTGACTGAGCTCAAAGGGATGCACTCCAACTTGTCAAATGCCCTTCAGATACAGTTCCCAAAATTGAACACAATATTCTTCAGCGCTTCTTAAACTGTGGTGTGCAACCCCTCATGGGGTCACACTTTAAGAAGTGATGAAGGGGTTGAGAGTGGAAAAAGTTTAAGAAGCCCTGCTCTAGATGAACTCTGCCCAGGGCAGAGTACAGCAGATTATCACCTCTCTAGTCCTGGACAATAAGGCTCTCAAGGAAGGCTAAGAGCTAGTTAGCCTGCCCCCAACCCCAAGCTATGTCATACTGTTGACTCATATTGAGCTTGCAATACACAGAAACCTCCAGATCTTTTACATGTGAACTGCTGCCTAGGCATGCCTCCCTTAGTCTGGACTTCTGAGATTCATTTCTGAACCCCAGTGTGGTACTTTAAATTTTTCCCTATTAAACTATCTCCAACTTAGATTTGGCCCACTGTTCTAGCTTTACAGGTTCTCGTTTTGGATCCTGTCATCCAACAAGTTGGTTATCCCATCCTTCACAATTTCATGTTATCTGCAAATTTGATAAGTGTCCCCTTCTGTCTCTTAATCTAAGCAATTACTAAAAAATGGACCAAGGAAAGCTCTCTGGGACACTCTACTAGAGGTAAGTCAGAAATGGTGTTACATATCTTGTAGAATGGTGGAAACCTCAGTGTCTAGGGCTGCCTGGCTTTGACTAGGGCCAAAAGAACATCTATGAGAAAAACATAAAACAAAATATTGTAGCGAGAGTTTTCCTCCCTATCTTCACCATAGACAACTTGTTTGTAT